AGGATTTAGGATTTAGGGTTTAGATTCAGATGCAATCCAGGCAGGAACTTGATCACCATCTCAGACCATCTCTCAAGAACCAAGAACCCTAGACCCTGTGATGCTCGTATGGGTGCAGCAAACTGCTTCGCATGGTCTGAAGTCTGCAGCATACGCTTCTTCGTTCTCTAGACTGCAGGGTTCAGAGCTCCATGCCTAAACCCCCACATAACCCGAAACCCTAAATCGTATAATTACCATAAACCCTAAACCCTAAATCCGGAGTTCGCAGAGAGAAAAGAGGGCTCAACAAGAAAATCCGGAGTTCAGGCAAGGCAGATGGCAACTCACCAAATTGCGGACTAAGTTTTTGTGGGCGTCCTTCCCCCTAAACCCTAAACCCTAAACTCTAAGTGTTTGTGGGCGTCGAGGAAGGATGCTCGTTTTTTGGGGCTTGGAGCTGGGTTTAGGGTTTAGGGTTTAAGGGTTTAGGGTTTAGGGGTTTAGGGGTTTAGGGTTTAGGGGTTTGGGGTTTAGGGTTTAGGATTCAGGGTCCCAGCTGCAGGTCCGAATGAAGTAAAATCCACCCCCCCCAATGTCGATATGGGACGGTTTAGGGGTTTAGGGTTTAGGGTTTAGGGTTTTTGGGGTACCTTATTTTGGGATCCTTATGATAAGGATCCGGCTATTTAGGGTACTATATTACATTAGGGTCCCCTAATTTTGGGAAATTCCCCATATCAATATGACATGATCAATCTCAACATCGATATAAGCGTTAATATTAATACTGATAGTGCCTGGGGCTTGATCCTAGCCTAGCAATCCCTAAACCCTAAACCCTAAACCCTAAACATGCGGGAGATCCCGGCACTCTGAACATGTACCCCTCAATCCTCAACCTGGAACCCCAAACCCGAAACCCGAGCCCCTAAACCAAAGGCCATAAAAACCCAAACTTTCAAACCCTAAACCCTAAACCCTAAACCCAAAATCCAAATTGTCAAAACCGATCCTAAACTCTAGACTCTAAACTCAGGCGATAAAGCCCGAACTTTAAACCCAAATTGTCAAAAACGATCCTAAACTCTAGACCCTAAACCCTAAACCCTGAACCCTAAACCGATCCTAAACTCTAGACTAATAATCTGAAGCCCGAAGCCCCAACATCTTAAACCCCCAAACCCTGAACTCAACATCCTAAACCCACAACCCTCAACTCAGCATCTTTTCATCCTAAAGTCCCAAACCCTAAACCCTAGAAGCCTCAAGATCTGAAATCCCAAAACCATAAACCCAATCTTTAAGGCCCTGAACCCTGAACTCGAGGTCTTCAACCCAAGAAAGCAAACCCTAAACCCCATAAGCCTAAAAGGGTTTCGGGTTTTATAGGGTTTTATAGGGTTTTATAGGGTTTCATCGGGTTTCATAGGGTTTTAGGGTTTAGGGTTTAGGGTTTGGGGGTTTAGGTGTTTAGTGTTTAGGGTTTAGGTGTTAGGGGTTTAGTGTTTAGCGGTTAGGGTCCTCAACCCTAAACTTTAAATCGTGCACTCAACAGCTTAAGTCCCAAACCCTAAACCCCATAAACTTACTTGGTTTAAAGCTCGTTTAGGATTCAAGATGTTGAGTTTAGGGTTTAGGACAGTTTACCTAGACCTCCAAAGAGCCTGGGCTTAGAAAAGGAAACCATAAGACGGAACCCTAAAAAGGGAGGTTCTTAAGGGTCGTTTAAGATGTTGAGTTTACCCTAAACCCCAGAGCCCTAAACCCTAAACCCCTAAACCCAAAACCCCCAAACCCAAAACCCAAAACCCCAGAACCCTAAACCCTAAGCCCCCAAAACCCTAAGCCCTAAGACCCCTTTAGGATTTCAGATGCCTCCTAGTCTAGGACACTCTCATGTGGGTAGTTACCGTTATAGGAGCCTTATAGAAGGTCTATATACCTGGTAGAAGCCTTATAGAAGCCCTATATACCCTAAACTCCCCACCTAACCCTAAACCCTAAACCCTAAACCCTAAACCCTAAACCCTAAACCCTAAACTCCCAACCTCTAGTTTCCTTTAATCCTAGGCTGGAGATCGCCAGCTTCGCCGACTTTTCGCCCCGGGCGGCCAGCTCTCGCCTCGGTCCCCTCAGGCGCGCGGCCGCGTCGGCCGAGCCAGCGCCGAGCCCTGTCAAGGGCTCCCCTTAAGGGGGTTTAGGGTTTAGGGTTTAGGGTTTAGGGTTTAGGTTTAGGGTTTAGGTTTTAGGGTTTAGGGTTTAGGGTTTAGGGTTTAGGGTTTAGGGTTCCTTTATGAGGGCTCCTTTAAGGGCTCCTTTAAGGGGGTTTAGTGTTTAGGGTTCCTTTATGAGGGCTCCTTTAAGGGGGTTTAGGGTTTAGGGTTTAGGGCTCGTTTTAAGGGCTTTTTAACAAGGGCTCCTTTATGAGGGTTCCTATAATAAGGGCTCCTTAAAGGGCTCCTTTAAGGGGGCTCCTTTAAGGGCTCCTATAATAAGCCTTCAAGGGCTCCTTTAAGGGGGCTCCTTTAAGGGGGCTCCTCTACGGGCTCCTCTACGAGCCTTTGTTTAAGCGTTCCTTTTAAGGGCTCGTTAAGGGGTTCCTTTGTTTAAGGGTTCCTATAGTCTATAGTAAGGGTTGCTTTTAAGGGTTCGTTTCAAGGGTTCCTATAATGGTTCCTTTGAAGGTTTTTTAAGGGTTTCTATAATAAAGGTTGTTTTAAGGGCTTCTGTAAGTGTTCCCATAAGGGCGAGCCCTTAAGGCATTGCAAAATTATCGGGGCTGCCGCAAACACCAAATCTAGAAGGCTAAACAGTTACCAATACTGTTTCCGCTACGGCGCCTCTATTTAGCACCTATTGAAACAAGGAACTGTTTAAACGCTAAACCCTAAACCCTAAACCCTAAACCCTAAACCCTAAACCCTAAACCCTAAACCCTAATGATGAAGGCCCTGTGCGAATCCTGTTCCTGCCAAAGCCCCCGAACCCTACAGTCCTAACCCAAAGCCCCCCGGGCTCTCTGAGGATAGAGGAGTTGCTGCCGCTTGGCTTCAACCTTTCGTGGCTGCAGACCGGGAGTTCTGGTTTAGGGTTTAGGGTTTAGGGTTTAGGGTTTAGGGAAACCCTAAACCCAAACTGTTTAGGTACCCCTAAACCCTAAACCCTAAACCCACCCCCATTCAAGTGCATGCTAGCCATTGCGGACACGCTGACAGCGATACAACCCTTCAATTCAGGGCTTTGGGCTCTTCGGAACTATCCTTGGCCCGAAAACCCCGCAATCCTGAGCCTGAAACCCGAAAACCTTCAACCCAAGCTCCTGAACCCATAGGCCATAGCCCCGAGACCCCTACGCCGCATGTCCGCATAGCCTAAACTCTCAACCGCTAAGCTCCCCACTCTGAAACCCTGACAACTTCCCTAAACCCTAAGCCCTAAGCCCTAAACCCCTACCCCCTCAACCAAAAACCCTAACCTCGAAACCCTAGCCCCTAAACCAAACACCCTAACCTCGAAACCGTAAACCCAAAACCCCAAAACCCCTAAACCCTAAACCCCTAAACCCCTAAACCCTAAACCCCTAAACCCCTAAAGCCTAAGCCCCTGAACCCAGAACCCCTAAACCCCAAAAGCCCAAGCCCCTAAGCCCTGAACCCCCAAGGCCGACCCTAAGCCCTAAACCTTAAAACTCTAAACCCTAAACCCTAAACCCTAAACCCTAAACCCTAAACCCTAAACCCTAAACCCTAAAACTGTAAACCCTAAACCCTAAACCCTAAAACCCTAAAACCCTAAACCCTAAACCTAAGCTCTGAAGCCCGACGAGCCGAACGCTTAGGCCAGTGGGTCCCTTCTGCCCCTTTGCCTCTCCCAGGCGAGCACCGGAAGAGGGGGGGGGGGGGTTAACTTAGGCTTTAGGCTTTTGGGGTTTA